TCAGCGGCGGATGCTGCTTCTTTTCGTCATCTCTTCCTTGGTCCCATGCAATTCTCCCTGACTATCTGGCAGAAATGTAAGGCTAAATTTGCACTGGCCTCAGATTGCTCTCCACTGACCAATATTATTTTTAATCCCAACCTCCCGGATAGCCTGGCCATGTCTCGAGTGCTCCCTTGGGTCGCAGCCGACCTTTTCCAACTTCGCCACTTGGTACACACTGTAACTCGGAAGCTACGTCCATACTCGGACCTCCAGACAAAAGATCACCTACCCTCCCAACATCTGTATGTTTAGCTTCAGATAAGCCATTTTTTTCTCTACTATATCACCTTCATTGACTCTTGAAAAGTCCATTCCCTTTGAACGTTTATGTATACAGGGCCCACATCAAAGGTGTATCATCTCTAACACATATAAACTCCTTATGGACACTTCTCCCTTATCTAAAGACACTCACCATTACATGCGCAAGTGGTCCCAGTTTTTACAATGTGACATTGATCTGATACTGTGGAAAAAAATTTGGGAAAACACACCCAGATCTTCGTATGCTTAGTTTATAAAGAAAATACATACAAAATTATGATGTTGTGGTACAAAACTTCTGAAGTACTTCACGCCTGTAACCCGAATGCTTCTTCTGTCTGTTGGTGCTGTGGGAAGGACTTTGGCTCTCTACCATATCTTTTGGTCGTGTGGGTCCATTACTGCTTTTTGGGAAGCAGTTTGGTCCTTATTACAATTGCTTTTGCATACCTCTGTCCCTTTTGAGCCTCTATACTTTTTATTGAGCCTGCCTTTTCCGGGCCTCTCCAAACCGTCAAGAAAACTTTCCGCGTATGTTCTGACTGTGGCCAGAAGAAGCATTCCTATGTGTTGGCTATCTTCCATATCTCCCTCGATGCCGACTTTATTTAAAATTATTGCTGATGTAAGACAGATGGAATATTTGACCGCTTTACATGCTTGTTTGATTGCTGTTTTTGAGGCAGTATGGAACCCATGGGATGTCTTTATTTCCTCTCAACCTGCCCAAAATGTACAGAGTTAATTGCTCCTCCACTGCTTTTTGTGACATTGTATGTTATGTACCCTTGCAGAATCCTATCATCGATGAGCTTCTTTCTCTTGTTTCTTTTTCAAAATTTGATGTATGTATATACATGTGAAAATCAATAAAACTGTTAATCATAAAAAAAGTTATAATCCTATACCCACAGTTGATCCAGAGGAAGGCAAAAAAACCAGCAAAGCATTATCCCATTTGCTCCTGCAGGGGAAAACATTCCTTCCCAATCCCCTGAGAGGCAATCGGATATTCCTTGGATCAACTTTACCTATAAATGTTAGGATCCAGTTATATTCTGTGTATCCAAGAAAGAATCCAGGCCTTTTTTAAAGCAATTTACTGAGCTGGCCAGAACTAACTCTTGAGGGAGTCTATTCCACATTTTCACAGCTTTCACTGCAAAGAAACCTTTCCGTGTTTGGAGATTAAACTTCTTTTCCTCCAGACATAAATAGTGCCTCTTGTCCTCTGTGATGACCTCAGGGTGAATAACTCTACACCGAGTTCACTATATGAACCACTGATGTATTATACATGTTGATCATATCCCCCCTTAACCACTTCCAGTCCGGACACTTTTACCCCCTTCCTGTCCAGGACAATTTTCAGCTTTCAGCGCTATCACATTTTGAATGACAATTGTGCGGTCATGCAACACTGTAGCTGTATGAATTGTTTAGCATTTTTTTGAGACAGATAAAGCTTTATTTTGGTGGTATTTATTCACCACTTGGATTTTTTTTTTTTTTGCTATATAAATGAAAAAGTCCAAACATTTTTAAAAAAAATGTTTTTCTTATAAAATTTTGCAAATAAATAATATTTCATCATAAATCTTGGCCAAAATGTATTCAGTTATCTTTTTAGTGAAAAAAAAAACAAATTAGTTTATAACCAAAAATTATAATTGTTTAAAATTTTTTTTTACATTTTTTTTTTTTTTATATTATTATTTGTTTTTTTTTTTTACATACTGTCACCCTAGCAGTACAGTGTCACCATGGTGACACTGTACTACTTGTGGGGGGTGATGAAGGTTTTTTTTTCACACTGATTGCTTTTACATCGATAAAGGCTGTAAAAGCAATCATTTCTCCTTCTCTCTGGGCTGCATTCTTGCAGCCATTGAGAAATACTGTGAGAGCTGTGATTAATCACAGCTTGTCACGTGGTACAAGACTGTTGTGAATAGCCTTGTACCATGTGACCTCTCCCAGGGAGCGCGCACAAGCAGGGGGCGGGGAGGCTGTTTATAAACAGCCACCTGCCCCTGCACTGCCACCATCCGGCCGTTTATATACAATGGCCGGACGGGAGGTGGTTGATCTCCTCTTCTCAAGAGGCAATAAATTCAATTCCTCTAATCTTTCCTCATAGCTGAGCTCCTGCATGCCTCTTATCAGTTCGGTTGCCCTTCTCTGTACTTTCTCCAGTTCCCCAATGTTCTTTTTGTGAATTGGTGCCCAAAACTGAACTGCACATTCCAGATGAGGTCTTACTAATGATTTGTACCGGGGGAAATGATATCTCTCTCTCTGGAGTCTATACCTCTTTTAATACAAGAGAGGATTTTGCTCACTTTAGAAACCGCAGCTTGGCGTTGCATGCCGTTTTTAAGCTTGTGATCTACCAAGCTAGATCCTTCTTCACCATTGATTCCCCCAGTTGTACCCCCCCCCCCCCAGTATGTATGATGTATACATATTCTTAGCCCCCAAGTGCAGAACCTTACATTTATCAACATTACACCTCATTTGCCACATAGTTTGCCCAATTAAACAGTGCATTCAGGTCGGCTTGTAAATTGGAGACATCCTGTAAGGACGTTATTCCACTGCACAGTTGGTGTCATCTGCAAAGACTGAAATGGGATTTATAATCTCAGAACCTACAGTTGTGTTCAAAATAATAGCAGTCAGACATCACTAACCTGATCAATCACTGTTTTTGGTAGAAATGATATTTCTACATGGCAAATAATTTACTAACAGGTGTAGTAGAGTAATAGAAATCCAACAGACTGTGAAGACAGTGAAGCATGGTTGCGCAAGCATCATGATATGGGGATGTTTCTCATACTGCGGTGTTGGGCCTATTTATCGCATACCAGGGATCATGGATCAGTTTGAATACATAAGAATACTTGAAGAGGCCATGCTGCCTTATGCTGAAGAGGAAATGCCCTTGAAATGGGTGTTCCAACAAGACAACGACCCCAAACACACCAGTAAACGTGCAACATCTTGGTTCCAGACCAACAAGATTGATGTTATGGAGTGGCCAGCCCAATCCCCGGATCTTAATCCAATAGAAAACTTGTGGGGTGACATCAAAAATGCAGTTTCTGAGGCAAAACCAAGAAATAGAGAAGAACTGTGGAATGTGGTCCAATCATCCTGGGCTGGAATACCTGTTCACAGGGGCCAGAAGTTGGGTGACTCCATGCAACACAGATGTACAGCAGTTCTCAGAAACAGTGCGACTACAACCAAATATTCATGAAGTGATTCAAAGGAAAGCAAAATCTTCAAACATTTTTCAGTTTATATAGTGAATGTTTGAGTTTGTAAAGAAGAATACAAACACTGCTATTTTTTTGAACAGTCTAATATTCACTTTTCTTCAATTTTGTCAGAGGAACACAAATTTGATATATTTTTCTTCATGTTTTGATTTGGAATAGAATGTGTAGTGTTCTCAATGCATTTGTGTGTATGGAAATAAAAGCTATTAGAAGGATTTTGAGCTTTATTCACTTTTTTCAACACACTGCTATTATTTTGAACATAACTGTATATCGTTTATAAATATATTATACAGTAAGGGTCCCAACACTGAACCTTGGGGTACACCACTGACACCCCTAGACCATTAAGAGTATGAATCATTAACCACTACTCTCTGAATACCATCTTTCAGCCAGTTTTCTATCCATTTACATATGGATTTTTCCAAGCCTGTAGACTTTACCTTACACATTAGCCGTGTGTGGGGAACTGTGTCAAACGCTTTGCAAAATTCAAGTATACCACATCCACTGCCACCCCTTTGTCCAAGTATACTATGTCCACCGCCACCCCTCTGTCCAACTATACCACATCCATCGCCACCCCTCTGTCCAAGTATACCATGTCGACAGCCATCCCTCTGTCCAAGTATACCACGTCCACAGCCATCCCTCTGTCCAAGTATACCTCGTCCACAGCCATCCGTCTGTCCAAGTATACCACGTCCACAGCCATCCCTCTGTCCAAGTATACCACATCCACACCACCCCTCTGTCCAAGTATACCACGTCCACAGCCACCCCTCTGTCCAAGTATACCACGTCCACAGCCATCCCTCTGTCCAAGTATACCACGTCCACAGCCATCCCTCTGTCCAAGTATACCTCGTCCACAGCCATCCCTCTGTCCAAGTATACCACGTCCACAGCCATCCCTCTGTCCAAGTATACCACGTCCACAGCCATCCCTCTGTCCAAGTATACCACATCCACAGCCACCCCTCTGTCCAAGTATACCACATCCACAGCCACCCCTCTGTCAAAGTATACCACGTCCACAGCCACCCCTCTGTCCAAGTATACCACGTCCACAGCCACCCCTCTGTCCAAGTATACCATGTCCACAGCCACCCCTCTGTCCAAGATTTTGCTCACCTCCTCTTAAAAAGAAATCAGATTTGTTTGACAACTTCTGTCCTTTATGGATCCATGCTGTCTGTTGCGTAAAATATTTTTTCCAGCAAGAACTCATCTATGTGGTCTTTTATTAAACTCTCCAGTATCTTCCCAACTATAGAAGTTACACTAACACAGCGGTTCTCAACCTTGGGGTCGCGACCCCTTTGGGGGTCGAACGACCATTTCCCAGGGGTCGCCTAAGACCATCGGAAAACACATATTTCCGATGGTCTTAGGAACCGAGACACCGCTCCTGTCTCCGGCGATGTGTGGGCGGGATATGCTGCCCCTGTCACCGCCTCCTCGCCGCTGATTGGCCACCAGAACTGTAGCTCAGGAGAGGCACACAGGCGGCCAATCACCGGCGAGGAGGTGGAGCTTGGAGAGGAGGAGCCGAGCGGCAGAGCGCGCAGATCGAAGAAGATCGAGGGAGAGAAGGAAGACAGCTGACAGGTAAGTGCAAATTTTGCTTCTGCAGGCTGTAGATGGGAGAGGGAGAGAGCGAGCCCAGGCTGGAGCAGGGGTCAGCAAGGTAAGTATCATTGGTGTCAGTGGAAGGGATAGTGCCCCATCATTTGTGTCACTAATACCAACGATGGGGCACTATTCCTCCCCCCACTGACACCAACGATGGGGCACTATTCCTCCCCCCACTGACACCAACGATGGGGCACTATTCCTCCCCCCACTGACACCAACGATGGGGCACTATTCCTCCCCCCACTGACACCAACGATGGGGCACTATTCCTCCCCCCACTGACACCAACGATGGGGCACTATTCCTCCCCCCACTGACACCAACGATGGGGCACTATTCCTCCCCCCACTGACACCAACGATGGGGCACTATTCCTCCCCCCACTGACACCAACGATGGGGCACTATTCCTCCCCCACTGACACCAACGATGGGGCACTATTCCTCCCCCCACTGACACCAACGATGGGGCACTATTCCTCCCCCCACTGACACCAACGATGGGGCACTATTCCTCCCCCCACTGACACCAATGATGGGGCACTATTCCTCCCCCCACTGACACCAACGATGGGGCACTATTCCTCCCCCCACTGACACCAACGATGGGGCACTATTCCTCCCCCCACTGACACCAACGATGGGGCACTATTCCTCCCCCCACTGACACCAACGATGGGGCACTATTCCTCCCCCCACTGACACCAACGATGGGGCACTATTCCTCCCCCCACTGACACCAACGATGGGGCACTATTCCTCCCCCCACTGACACCAACGATGGGGCACTATTCCTCCCCCCACTGACACCAATGATAGGCACTATTCCTCCCCCCACTGACACCAACGATGGGGCACTATTCCTCCCACTGACACCAACGATGGGGCACTATTCCTCCCACTGACACCAACGATGGGGCACTATTCCTCCCACTGACACCAACGATGGGGCACTATTCCTCCCACTGACACCAACGATGGGGCACTATTCCTCCCACTGACACCAACGATGGGGCACTATTCCTCCCACTGATACCAACGATGGGGCACTATTCCTCCCACTGACACCAATGATGGGGCACTACTTCTGCCACTGATACCAATGATGGGACACTATTCCTCCCACTGATACCAATGATGGGGCACTATTCCTCCCACTGACGCCAATGATGGGGCACTATTCCTGCCACTGATACCAATGATGGGGCACTATTTCTCCCACTGACACCACTGGTGGGGACACTATTCCTCCCACTGACACCAATGATGGGACACTATTCCTCCCACTGATACCAATGATGGGGCAATATTCCTCCCACTGACGCCAATGATGGGGCACTATTCCCCCCACTGACGCCAATGATGGGGCACTATTCCCCCCACTGACACCAATGATGGGGCACTATTCCTCCCACTGACACCACTGGTGGGACACTATTCCTCCCACTGACACCACTGGTGGGACACTATTCCTCCCACTGACACCACTGGTGGGATACTATTCCTCCCACTGACACCAATGATGGGGCACTATTCCTCCCACTGACACCAATGATGGGGCACTATTCCTCCCACTGACACCAATGATGGGGCACTATTCCTGCCACTGATACCAATGATGGGACACTATTCCTCCCACTGACACCACTGGTGGGACACTATTCCTCCCACTGACACCAATGATGGGGCACTATTCCTCCCACTGACGCCAATGATGAGGCACTATTCCTGCCACTGACACCAATGATGGGGCACTATTCCTCCCACTGACACCACTGGTGGGACACTATTCCTCCCACTGACACCAATGATGGGACACTATTCCTCCCACTGATACCAATGATGGGGCAATATTCCTCCCACTGACGCCAATGATGGGGCACTGTTCCCCCCACTGACACCAATGATGGGGCACTATTCCTCCCACTGACACCACTGGTGGGACATTATTCCTCCCACTGACACCACTGGTGGGACACTATTCCTCCCACTGACACCACTGGTGGGACACTATTCCTCCCACTGACACCACTGGTGGGATACTATTCCTCCCACTGACACCAATGATGGGGCACTATTCCTCCCACTGACACCAATGATGGGGCACTATTCCTCCCACTGACACCAATGATGGGGCACTATTCCTGCCACTGATACCAATGATGGGACACTATTCCTCCCACTGACACCACTGGTGGGATACTATTCCTCCCACTGACACCAATGATGGGGCACTATTCCTCCCACTGACACCAACGATGGGACACTATTCCTCCCACTGACACCAACGATGGGGCACTATTCCTCCCACTGACACCAACGATGGGGCACTATTCCTCCCACTGACACCAACGATGGGGCACTATTCATCCCACTGATACCAACGATGGGACACTATTCCTCCCACTGACATCAGTGATGGGGCGCTAGTCCTCCCACTGCAAAATTACAGTTCTGAAGTAGCAACGAAAATAATTTTATGGTTGGGGGTCACCACAACATGAGGAACTGTATTAAGGGGTCGCGGCATTAGAAAGGTTGAGAACCACTGCACTAACAGGTCTATAATTACTTGGTAAAGATTTTGACCCCTTTTTAAATATTGGCACCACATTGGCCTTAAGCCAATCCAGTGGTACTATGCCAGTCATTAAAGAGTCCCTAAAAATTGGAAACAATGGCTTTGAAAGGACAGCGCTCAATTATTTGATGACCTGTGGGTGTATGCCATCCGGTCCACGTGCTTTATTCACCTTTATTCTGTCTAAATATTTCTAGATCGTATCAGTTGTGAGCCAATGTGGATCATCTGGAGCTGTGTTAATACCATGCCCATTATGGACAAGAGCTCCCCCATGCTGCTTTTATACACAAAGCTGAAGAAAGTATTTCATAAATTTGCCTTCTCTTTGTCCCTAGTCACCCACTCTAGATTATTTTGTAAAGGGCCTACATGCTCGGACCGGACCTTTTTACTATTAATACATTTGAAGAATTTTTGGGGATTTGTCCTGCTATCTATTTCAATCTGTCGCTCGTTTTAAATTTTTGCAGCCTTTATTTCCTTTTTGCATATTCTGTTATATTCTTCGTAATGTTTAAACGATGATAGCGTTCCTCTTCATTTTTATATTTAATTAAAGCTCTTTTCTTATTATTTATAGGTATTTTAACTTTGGCTGTAAGCCACCTACATTTGATTTTTAGTCTTTTAAACTTGTTGCCCATGGGAATATATATTGCAGTGTGTTCACATACAGTCTTTTTGAAGAACTTCCATTTCTGTGTTGTGTTCATTGATGCCAATATTCCTTACCCGTCTAAGTCTTGGAGAGCAGCTCTCAGCCTTGGAAAATTAAATTCTCTTAAAGTTGAGCGTTTTTATTTTTCCCATATATGCTTTATGTTTACAGTTAACAATAAATTAAATCATGTTATGGTGACTGTTACCCAGATGTTCTTTTATGTGGACATTTGTAATAAGCTCTGCATGGTTTGAGATTACCAGGTCCAGCAGAGCATCATTCCTAGTTGGGGCCTCTATGAACTGTACCAAAAAATTGTCCTGTAGTAGGTTTATAAATTTTTGTCCTTTAACTGTTCCTGCACTGCCATTACTCCAGTCAATTTCTGGGTGGTCAAAATCCCCCATTATTATCACTGTCCCAGCCCATGCAGACCTTTCTATCTGTGCAAGGAGCTGAGTCTCCACCTCCTCATCAATACTGGGAGGCCTATAGCAAACTTCAATGATTACCTTTGTAGTACGCACCCCTATGTGTTGTTCCACCCATAATACTTCAGCCTCATCATCCTCTCCATCAATCATTTCATTAACACCAAAACAGCTGAAACTGATTAACCCCCTCTGCTACTTAACTGACCAGATCAATATCCCAGGAGTTTAATTGACTTGATGCCATACTGTCAGGGCTCCAGGTATGACCAGAGATGTGTGGACTGACACAGGGAAATGCAGGCTTCAAGTATGGTGTAAAAGTAATATAATTTATTTAAGGTACACAATACACAGAGCACACGGTGCAAAACCAAACCAAACCTTAAGCTAGTCTCAATATGTGCAGGAACACAAGCTCAGGCTGGTCGGTTCGGTAACTATCGGGCAGGTAGGTACAGGAGGAGCAGGCAGGGAGTAGTCAGGTCACGAGCCAGGTTCAGCAACTAACGGGCAGGTAGGTACAGGAGGAGCAGGCAGAGAGTAGTCAGGTAAAGAGCCAGGTTCAGCAACTAACGGGCAGGTAGGTACAGGAGGAGCAGGCAGAGAGTAGTCAGGTAAAGAGCCAGGGGTCAGTGCAGGAGACAGTCATCAGGATCAAAGCAGGGTCGGCAACAAAGGGTACTTCACAGAACAGAGGATCAGGCACAGGTAACAAGATACAGGGGCTCATGGGAAACAAATACCAAGGCACTGATCACAGGCCTGGTCCTGCTTAAATACACCTTCTGTAATCAGCCTCAGCTGATGGCTTGATTGCAGGAGTGAGATTCTGGCTGCTGACAGCACCCGCTGGCCAGCCTTGGTACTGCAGCCCACAAGGCAGGTGAGTCCCACCCCCATTGGCAAGTCCATTCCTGACATATACTCTGATTAAAAAGTGTTTCTTTAATCTTTTTGAGAAATATATATATATTTATTTATTTATTTTATTTTATATTTTGTTCTGCTGTAGTCACATAAGGAGAGGGTTTTTATTTATTTAATTTTGGTTCAATAAGAGCGAGATACTTTGGTGTTTTTTTTTTTTTTTGCAATTCCAGTTTTGGCAATAAAGAAAAAATTGTATCTCCTGCAGCTCTAGATTGTATACCAACCACCTCTCTAGTGCTGTCCACCACTGTGTCACCTGCCTAGGGATCCAATAACATTCATCTTTTGGGTTGAGTGATGTCCAGCATCATTCAACCTACTTCCTGTGAGCCCAGGAAAATATTGCAGAGAGCGGCACCTTGTCATTATATGGCACTACTCTCTGCAGAATTTAGGATTCACCCACTGCCGGCAGGAGGAGAGGGCAAAGAGGTCGTAGATGTATATAGGTTTTT